TTTTTCTTTTCTTTTAACTTTGTGTTGATGGCAACGAGGTTGGTGATTGGAACATTAACGCAAGCTTCAGTTTGTTGGTTCCCCGTCCCGCTCTGTGCTGTAAAATACAATAACACAAAACTGTTTGCTTTCCAGATTCTGGCGCCTTTACAGACATTAAAAAAAGAAAACGTCTTGTTGCAGTTTTCATTTCAATATCCAATATCAGCAGTTACTATTATGTTATTCAAAGGAGTATAGATGTTTTTACTGTTTTTTTTTTCATTATGCAGAAATAATAAAGACACATATAGGGCTTTAGATCATTTCTTGTTTTTGTTTTCTTTTTTCGATTTTGTTTTCGAACATTCATAATGGCTTAATTCTCCTTGATCCTATTTTGTAAACTATGATATGTAACTTTAACATTGAACAAAAAAAAAGTTTATTATTTAATAATAAAAATAATGATAATGTATGTATTAGCGGTAGAATGTCGTAACCTGTACCTGGGGTCTTTTTTATAGATGTATATACAATGACAGGTTTCAACCATTAAATGTGACCATTTCACAATGACTCACCACCGACTGGCCTCCTTCTTATGCTGCTCTTTCCAGGTGATCTGCTCAGAGAGTCATCTCCTGGACGAATGAGAGGAGGATGAGGTGTCTGTGAACGAGAAAAAAGAACAGGTTTGCAGATGGGAGAGCTTCAACCGTCAGCACAAGTCGAGGCCTCTAACCGGGCCCTGATTTAACCCAACCGTGACATCAGTCTGCTTGAGTTTAGCATCTGAGCATGCTGAGCCCATCCTGTTAGCACCGGCCAACAATCAAAAGTGTTGGGGGAGTGTTGGGGGAGCAGAAACAGACTCACGAATCAGAGAGTCCGCCCACTTCCAGACTAAAACTGTCTGTGGGTGTTAGCTGGTGACCAAGTTAGTAACGTTAGAGAAGATGTACGCCCTCCCTGTCATGTGTAATTTGTCACTGACCGAAACAAAACATGGCCTCGCATTCTCAGTGGCATATTTCAGACATTTTGGTGTTTCTTGAGCCGGAAGTGGTTTTTCAGTGTTTGAAAGACAAATTACAGGTTGAGCTGGATATAAGCATTTATTTTTGCTGGTGGGATTATCGTCAGAAGAGAGAATGTAGCTCAGGATCATAGCAACCTTGTGAATCCGTTGGGGATTTACTGTGAGAAAGTATGCACTTTTTGAGCCGCGCTTTGCTTTTTAGTTTTGCTGGAACGCGGTGGGGTGAAACCTTAAAGGAAAAGCCTACACTCAGAAAAGCGAGGTTTTTTCCAGGTGAAATACGAGGGGAGGGCTGGGAGGAGATGCGGCTGGTAAAAATTTCCCTGTTGACCTTTAGCTCTCAGCCTCCGTCTGCCTCTCCTCAGTTTGTCTCACTGACTCTCTCATCTTTCTCTCAAGCTCTCTTTCTGTCATTATGCTGACAAGTTCTGGCAGGCCGATTTGGAGGCCGAGGACAAATCAATACACAATCTAACAGCTGTCAGCTGGGGTCCTCTGTGTGTGTGTGTGTGGGTGTGTGTGTGTGTGTGTCGGCGTGTGTGTGTGCAAAGTGTCGATCTGCTTGCGTGGTATTGCATTCATTACTCTTTCCACCCATCCTTCCTCCCTCATATATACCAGCCAGCCGTTTCCCTCTATTTAATGAGGGTGTCAATGAGAACTCAATTAATATTTACAATGACAATGAATTGAATGAGGAGGGCACGCAGGACACTGGGATTCTATTATCCTTGTCATCGTCTGGGCTGTAAATCTCAGGTGGTTTGTTCTTACAGTTCAAACGGGATTGTAGAGCTTGCGTTTAAGCCTTTTAAATGTTTAATTGGATTTCAGGCGAAAAGTGGCCTGATACCTTTTGACCACGGCCGGGATCTGAACCGCGTTAACCTCCGGTGTGTGTGAGGTGTGGATGCGTTCTCCACCCAGAGCCGGTCAGTTACGGCCGGCCCGCTCCGCTCTAATGGCTGCTCTGACCTTTCACTGAAAACTGGATGAGCGACATGATATCTGCTTCCCTCGCACCTCTCTGAATGCTCAGCCAGTGGCCTCCTGCTCCTCCGCTGGCCTTTTCAGGCCTCCCTGTTTGGTCTTCCAAACATTCCCGCTCTCTCTCCGGCTCATTATCAAAGGCACATTTCTAAGGACCCCTTCACTATTCTTCCAGGTCATTCCTCACGTTATTGAAGCAGGAGGATTGAAACGTATCGGCTAAAGATGCACCCCCAGTTTCAGCTGCTACGAGTTGTTTACCTCCCACCAAACTGTGGTCCAAGTTTCTCCGACTCATTCGAATTTCAATGGACCTTCGTAGACTGTCTTTCAGTTGCCGCTTTATTAGTTACAGTGGAAGATACAACCTTTAACCAAGCCAAATTATTTCAGCCAAAGGGTTTTTTTTAAAGAAAAAAGAGAAAAGCTCCAAATAAAGGTTGTGGTTTGCACTCAGGGCTGTTTTCAAATTCACCACTGGTAATATTCAGAGGAGAGGGATGTAAATATATGACTGCCTTCATTCGTTTAACGAAAGAACAGGATTTTTAATAACAAAGCACTTTTATAAACTTCCGTTTAGAGGGTTTATGAAAACAGTAAATCATCTCCGACTGAGATTAAACTCGATATGAGTATTTGTTTGGCCACTGGAGGGCAGAAGAGTCTCAATCCAGTTTGGTGCTCTGTCCATGGTGCTGAAATCCAGATTGAAGTCCCCGGGCTTCTCTCCGTGGTGCTGAATATTCCCACCCGTGCGGGATTCCGCAGACTTTGCCCCTCCTTCCTTCTGCCCATTTTCCAGATGCCACATACGGGCTGAGGAGGGACGTCCAGAACCAGCTGTAATTACTCTTCCTCTTCCCCGGAAGCAGAGGTGCGACACAAGATCGGTCAGTCAGGACACAATCGCTTTGGGCGAGCAGGAAATCCCATTCTCTACCACTGAGACGTCACACCAGCAAGAAAATAAGCCCCCGGTGGCCCGTGTTTATCAGATGCTGACTCCTCTGTGCGTGTTGCCGGTCACACAAACGTGGAGCTGAAAGGAGAAATGATGGAGCCTTGTCAGTGAGCTCCTAATCTCGGCCCTGCCAGGTGGCCTGAGTCCTCTGGCTGTGCGCCTCTCAGACCAACTGCCAGTCCTTGTCAGCCTATTATTTATCCAGCCGGTTGATAACACGTATGAGGGGAACTGTGTCGAGCGGCTGGAGCCTCAAAGTGACGTGCGGTGGTCTGGTCCACACTCACACACTCAGCATGTCCAGTATAAGAGGTCAGTGAGTCGTCCCGGTGAGGCTTTGTCTCCCTTAAGAACCCAGACGGCTCATTGTGAAGCTGAACGACACCATGGCCTTTTTTTTCCAGCTGTGGGGAAAGCAGACACGTCCTTCAAACAGAGCAGCCAGACATGGAAACCCGTCACCCAGCCGAAAATGCAAATGAGGAAAAGGTGAAAGACTCCGAGCACGGATGTGCAGCAGCCAGCTCTGAATCTGCTCTGTCAGAGGTTAGACGGGGCTTTAATGGAGAAGAAGGGCAAGCGCCAGATTAAAAGTGAAATTTTAAATGATTACCTCCTGAGATACAAAGAAGAAATGCAGGCATATTTAAGACATTCCATTAAAAGGGATTAAACGTTTCACTACAGGTGCAAGCTCAGATGTTTAATAGAGACATTATTAAAATTGGATTTTATATGAAAGGTGTCGTTTTGAATTTTATCATTTGAACTGATACACCTATTTAAACCTTTCTGCCACAGCGGGGCGCTTAATGTGAAACTCAGCAGCTAATATAATCCGTCAGTAGGAGTTAGAACACATTATTCAGCCTATAAAACTCCCTCTGGAAAGACAGTTTTAACCATTATTGCCTCCGTTTCTTTTCTAGACATCTGTAAAACATCCCCTGATAGTAATACAGCATGTTCAAAAAGTTAAAGTATTGTATTCTTTTCAATATTCAACAAATTCTTATGTCGGTTTCTCTGTGTTATCTATATTCCTCATTCAGAGGTCTCTTTCTCCATCTTGTGGTAGCTAATAAAAAGATTGGGCAACACCTGGGGAAATGTATGTTTAGAATGTATTTCCTAATTGTTTACAATTTAAAATAGAAACTGCTAATGCTCTCTAATTTGCATTAATATTCATCAGTTCTTTGCTTTCTTTGATTTAAATTGAGATTTTATATTAATGAGAATGAATCTTATAGGGGGAACCTGTGATTTGTGTATTCCCATGCGTCGTTTAATTCGGACTCTGTTAGTGTTAAAATTATTCATATGTAATTTTTTTTTAACCATTTAGTTAAACACAAGAATCAAAAGAATTTCAAATTTGGTAAAACCGTCACTTGATGAGCAGAACATCAGCCCATATTTCATATTTGATAAAGAAAATGATCAGTCTCACTATTGTTTTAAATAAAACACTGTGCAGTTTGTCTAAAATAAACGTAGGAATGTTTTGTCCCCTTTTCTATTTTAGACTGCTTGGATGGCTGACATGTCATGGTTCAAGTCAAATAAAATGGAAACTGGAAATAGAAGAAGGAACCTTATTTGCATCTATTTGAAATCTGTAAGGTCATGAACTAGAATGTCAACATGTGTAATTTCTGTACAGCTGTAGACCCACAAACATTACTGTCCCAGCAGTGAACCAAAACAGACAAACATAAAATGTTATGGACCTGAACAAAAGCTTCCTCTACACAGACCCCATTTAATCAAATGTATTCAGTTCTATAACAAGATAAATGGCTTCTGGATACATTTGAATAAATATGATATCTTCTAATATAATCACCCTTAACCTAAATAAATCACATATATGTGTTTAATCAAACATCAAACATTTTTGTATCTATCTCAAACATAGTAAACGTATCTTTAAAACATTCCCCGGCAATAGTAACTTCTAATGAGGCCGTGATGGTTATTTCTGTCTTGGTGCAGTGCTCATTCTGACCTGTAGGTGGCAGCACGGTGCCGGTGAGCAGAAGGTTGCGACCACAGCCACACACAGCAGAAGAAGACCAGGAGCACAGCGGGAGGATAACAGGTGAAGGGATATGGGGTGAGTATCTCCATAGCATCAGTCTGCTAGCTTTAAGTAGCTTTTAAGCGTTTTTATTGATAAACGCCCTATTCAGTTTTGTGCCGTGACGTTGAAGAGAAGCGTGTCATGTCGGGTTATCCCCTCAGAAGAGTTCCTGCTCTCGGCTTGGACCGCCTACACAAAGCAGACCCCCCCCCCCCCCACCGACACCCACCCTGTCTGTTAGCCGCTCAGCTCCAAGCTAGCAGCCACCATCACTGATCCTATTATAGCCCACTGCAAATTAGCCCAACTGCCGTGTCTTTGTTTCCACGGGATGAGCCTTAGATCGGGATAGAATCACTAGAAACGGCGATGTTAGCCGCAGTTATAGCATCAGCTAGCTGCTACTTTTTAAAAAGCCAATTACACCCTCACACACACCGGGTGGTAACACTAGGTGTGTGTGTGTGATGGAGACTGCTGTTACATGAGCAGTGACATCAGTGCCGTTGCGTGTCCGTCTGTCCCACATTTCACTCAGTTGCATGAGACAGAGACCTATTTTTTTATTTAGCCTCTGGGTTAATGTGGAATGACTTCAATAGCTTTTTGAGAGCAGGATGTATGACGTGGTTCCCTTTTATTATCGTGAATTTATCTCAGTCCTGCTATTGTAAAGAAAACTGCTTCCAAATCCATTCATTATGCATATAATTCATCAGCAGGCATTTTTTTAATTTGGTTATTTTTGTACCAGTTAAAGGGATTCTTGTCAAGTCCAGCAGTAACATTCCCCAGTTTGAGGTTTCATATATATTCTTTGCCAACAGAGCATCTGTATCTGATTTGTGTTTTTTAAATGATTTTACAACAACATAGACTTCTTCTCTTTCATCAATCTGAATTTCTCTATTGTTTTTCTCTCCAGTTCACCTCAACCTTGCTGACCTTCACCGGTGATTGGCTCCTTCAGCCACTGGTCAACATGCAGGGATTTTACTCCAAGCTGGACTCCTCCTCGTCCCCGCTGTTGGGGGTGGGGCTGGGGGGGGACGCCCGCGTGCCGCTGAGCCTGGCGGTGGAGGCGGAGAAGGCTCAGGCCCTGCTGCAGACCTTCAGCTCGGCCTCCCTGCTGGCCTCGGCCGGCCTGGGGGTCTTCTGCGTGGTGGCCGACCACGCCCTGCAGCTGTCGGTCATCCAGCATCACCTGTGGCTGCGCGCCGCCCTGGACAACGCCACGCACGGCCTCATCGGCCTGTGGTCGTGGGCCGTGGTCATCGGACTGAGGAAAAAGAGCGATCTGTACGAAGTGCTGCTGGCAGGCCTCTTGGCGTCGATCATAGACCTGGACCACTTCTACATGGCTGGATCCCTGTCGCTAAAGGTGAGAACCCCTCCCCGGTGTTCCCCGTCGGAGGGCTGAATAATTGAAACCGTTTTGTGCTTCCAGGCCGCCGTGTCCCTGCCTCAGCGCCCCCCCCTCCACTGCTCCTCCGTCATCCCCGTGATCTGCCTCAGCCTGCGCTTCCTCATGTGGATCGGCCGGCTCAAAGACGCCTGGTGCTCTCTGCCCTGGATGCTCTTCATCTCCATGGCGACGCACCACGTCCGGGACGCGGTGCGCCACGGCCTGTGGGTGTGCCCGTTCGGCAACACGGCGCCCGTCCCCTACTGGCTGTACGTCAGCACCACCGCCACGCTGCCCCACCTGTGCTCCGTGCTCATGTACCTGACCGGCACCCGGGACGTCATCTCCACCAAGCACGGCGTGGCCATCGACGTTTAGACGGGGCCGGCCGGAGGGTGACGTCCATTAGAGAGGCCGATCGGATCACGTCTGGGTGAAATTGTTCCGTTTTAAAAAAACAAACAACAAAAAAAACATTTAAACACCTTTTGAAGAAAATATTTACAGCACTTGAAAGGTGGAGAGATTTTTGAAAAATGTTTCAGAAAATCCACAGTCTGGTTTAAAAAAAAAAAAAAAAAAATTCCAAGAACAATAACATCCGTCCAGTAAAGGGAAATTTCTATAAGGGTGCTTCCCTTTGTGGTGGTCAGGATCCAAGAACGGGCAGCCATCCCTGACAGCCCCGGATACGGGGGACTCGGAAAACACAATCCCTGATCCCCACCAGTCAGTCTCCACTTTTCCTGTCTCTGTCCGGGCTCGGAACACTTCAGGAGAAGTTGACCGAAGGGCGACCACAGGCCGTAAGGCACTGAGGCGCGTTGGGAGGCTTTTGTCACAGCGAACTGCTTTTCACATTCCACAGGATGACAGATCCACAATAAATGACCACAAAACAGCCTGTGATATCCACCTGTCCCCTCTCTGCAGAATCATCCTGCTGCTCAGAGGACTTACTGTCTTAATCAGTAATAACTTCTCCTTTTTAGGCTTTTTTTTTTTTGTTTGTTTTTTTTTTGTTTTTGTGCAAATCAGCCTTCTCAGTGCCAACCGTGTCCTCCTCAGACACGGATCAGGAAGACAAAGCGAACATAAATGTCCTTTTTTTTGTTTCGTTTTCCCTTGTTTGCACCTAAAATTTCCACAACTTGGCGAGTTGTCGCTATAGTTAGTTTTAGGTTCCACAAAAAAAAAAAAAAGGTAAGTTCGCTGCTAGCTGGTCAGAGCCACCCGAGTTGTGGCGTCCTGCTGTGATGGAGCGACACTTTTTGTGAAGAGCTGAATTAACTTGCCGTTTATTGTGCCAGTAAAGCTTTTAAATTATTATTATTTTGATTGAAGCTGGATTTTCAGTGTGGACACAGGAGCTGTAAGAGGACATGAACCGTTTTGTTCATTACAATCAGTTGCTTACGTCGTTTAGAAAATTTAAAAACAAACATTCACTAACACGCATTTAGAGGTTTAGAGTTATTAGTGTCATAGATGTAATCTGAACATACACAATATCAACAGTATTATTCACACATTATTTAAATTAAGCATAATAATTTATTGTATTCTAGTTGTTGGCATTTGAAATGTGCTATTGGAATGTACAGCAGAGCGATGTTTGTGTCAAACGGATGACGTGTTCATCTGATGCTGGGGGGCGGGTTTTAATTTATAGGGAAATTAGAAGTTCACAGGGCTCCAGCAAACGTGAAGCTGTTGGGTGGTTCTCGTGAAAGGTTGCAATAACCGTTACTGTCCACTAGATGGCAGCTGAAGTTCCATTTTTATTCATCTCTTTTTTCCTCCTGCCTGTGTTTTCAAAGTGGAATATTTAATTGAAAGATAACGTGGAAACAAATCAGGGTGTTATATTTGCACATTTTGCTTTGGATCAAAATTGCTGGTACAGCCGACTTTCTTTCAGAGGCGTTTTTGTTATTTGGCCCCTGGATGCGACATGTCCCCTTTGCTCTTGTGAGGTACCGAGAAGTTTTAAAAACTTGTGTTTGTGGGGTTTGGTACAGACTACTGAGAGTTAACACTTTCTAACTCTGTATTTTAGACAGACACGTATAAGGTGATTATTGTGCGTATGGGGGGAATGTAAACGAGTGCCATCCTATTTTAACTTACCGCTGCTTATGTTTACAGTGTGACATTCATTAATGCAATATTATGTTAAAATTTGCACATTTTCCGTTTTAATCTTTAAATTTTAGTTTTGTATTAATGGTTGAATCCTGTGAGTTTCAGTAGTAAGGAGTTCTACGTAGTGACAGATAGACAATGTAGTGTTCTTTTATCTCAATAAAATATATCCCACGGAAATATTTTTGTCTTTGTTCAGAACGATGTGGAACGTCTAAAGTTCTCCTGAATCTGAGTTGACCTTTTATGGCCTGGTCCTGCAGAGGAGCTCTGAGATGTTTACTTTGATTTTATCAGCAATACATCTAAATATCAGAAAAGTCAAAATGAAAAGGTGAACAAAAGTAGGAATTGTACTCTTTATTGGCAGTGAGAATGCATTTTCCTGCCTGCCGAGCTATATTTTCACAAATAATCACTGGGTACTGGCCTGCTGCAGAGGGGAGGTTGCTCAATACTCAGATGACAGCTCCAGCTCTTGAAAACAGGCCTCAGTAGAACCAGATGTGTTTCAGGAAACCCCATCCTTCTTTTCGGCGCGGCAGGAGATCTGAGACGGCGTGGGGGTGCTGGGCTGTCACAACCTGCACACAACGATTCTGCCGGGTTTGACGTTTCATACACCAATAATCGTTCTGACCTTTCAGATCAGGTTGGGTTTTTTTTGTCATTTCCGTCAGATATGCAGATTTGTTGCCGTTTCTGGCTTAAAGACGTGAGAAAGCTCAGTTTAGGGGTTCTACGGGGGAAAAAGATACTAGCTGGCTGACTGTAAAATGTCAAAAACTGAAAAATAATAACCTTTAATCATTCTGAAACCGAAACCAAATCAGACCTGTTGTGCTCAGTGAAGCCTAGTGGCTGGTAGAAAACGGATCCTGGAGCCAGCCTGTGCTCCGGCTCTGTCCGGCTCGCTGTGGATCCGCCTCTGAGGCATCGTGCTGAGCTAATTGGGAATATCCTGGAAAGAGCAGGAAGGAAGAGGCTGGACTGAGGCAGAGCGGCTCCGCTGTTCTGTAATAGAATTAGCGGGCAACATCAGGGCCAAGTCTCCCACCACGCAGCACACCTCCAGACGCCGCAAAGGGGCACGTGTGGCCATCGGGAAATAAGCTCATCCTGTGCTCATCCTGATCTAAGCGTCCAGACCCTGAGGATGGGTACATGGTGGGAGGCGTAAGCAGAAGAACATAATGGACTGAAGAAGAAAGACATGTTGACAGAACGAAGATCATGCTTTAACAGATATGAGGTCAGATTTCAGCATAAAACAAGTCTAAAAAGACAGTTTGTCTTAAAAACCAACAGAAGGCTGAACTGTATTTTCACAGCAGAAACATTGCTTTGGTAAAGAAGGAACTTCATGGTGGATATGGGAGAAAAACTTGTGGACCACATGGCAGAGACTGTGGGAAAAGTGTGATAAAATAGCATTTATTTCACAAAAACATACCAGGAGGGAGAGAAAAAACAGCTTATAGTGATATCTGTTGAAAACGAAGCAAAAAAAAAAAAAAGGAAGAAAAGATTATGTACATCAGAAAGAGGATGCCTGAGTGTAATTCGAGTCATTAAAAAACTAAAACCCCACAGGCTCCATCTACTAACAAATACTGCAGGAGAATGTGGAAAGAACGGGACAGAAATCTGTCCAAAGAGACACAGAAGACGCCACCAGAGTCAAACAGAAGAGTGTTACCCGCACAGGTGACTGAGTGAACACAGTACAGACGACCAAAGGGGTCAAAGGTCAATTAAACTGCTCTGCTCAGATCTGATCTGTCTTGCTGGAGTAAAAGCTGCATGCGGACTGAGTGAAGTGTGAAAAAAGTGGCTCCTGTCTCTCAGATGTACATTCTTGTGTAGTTTTGCGTCCGTTCAGGACGTGAACAAGCAGCAGCATTTTCATTCAGCCCAACGCACAGAGAAGAGGAACTCCCTTTCAGAATTTGATGCGACTTTTCAGGATAAATTGTCGTGGGAAACAAAAACAAAAACATTTAAGCCCCCCCCTGACTGAGGAAATAAGCTGTGCACAACAGTACAGCATGTTAGATGAAGACCGACTCAGTAATCACATTGTCCATACAGTAACCGTACAGTAACAGCTTCATATAACTGGGGAGAAAGACATATATGACACCAGGAATGCCTCGCAGACATGGACAATCCTCAGTCCTTAATAAGTACATTTGTTTCAATGCTGTGACTTTACCTATAACGAACTAGTAAAATATCTTTTATCGGAGTGTTAAGATCGAATTTGAGACTGAGCAAACCATGTCTGTCAGGCTACCCCCGGTAAACAGATTCATAAACACCACATACAGTATACCGTACGTGTGGATATACAATAGTAATATACACGTAAGCTTCAACTGGAACCATGCATAATATGTGGAGCTAGCTTTAGAGAACATACAGTTGTCAAACCAGAGAGTCTGACTTAAATGCACCTTGTGTTTCTTTCTAAAAGACACACATGAGTCAATAAAACAACTTTAGTCGGAGCAGGACAGAACCACCACCGAGTAGGGGGGGAGAGAAAGAAAGAAATAAAGAAAAAAAGACAAGTACAACGGAGAAGAATGAGAAAAAGAAAAAAAAACTAACTCTTAAGTCCATCTGCAGCAGCTAGTTAGTCAGCACACATGGTTTATGACGGTTTTAGAGGTATATTTAGACGGCATGTGCTGGCCGTGCACAAGTCCAACGGTTTGCACGAGTTGGCGGGATGCGAATTGCTTTTGCTAACTTGACCACGTACACGCTTAGCTGCGTGTACCCGGGGCTTAACTGACCAGTAAATGACTACTTGGGTGACACAAACATAAACATGTGCACACGTTTTCCTGCACACAACAGGCGTTTACACAGAGACTGCGCCCACCTCTCCTCAGAGATGGAAAATAAATGGAGGCGACAGACAATTTGAAATTATATCTAGCCACAAACGTAGCTAACATGCTAACTTGAAGTCGTCAAGGTGTGCGCGGGTTTTTCATGGTTATGGCCCCTTTTGACTTGTGTTGTAGTCGTGAAACCGGGGCCCATCCCTGTGCTCCAGGCCTTCCTTTTTTTCTGTGGCTGATTTGTGTCCGTGGGACCGTTCGAATCCTCTCAACATTCACTGCTCCCCTAACAAAAATGCCAAATATCTGCAGCTTGCCGACACCATGTTATTTGCTGCGGCGTTCGCGACCACATGCTAACATAGCCGTCCGCAAACCGCCTCACTCATGTCAAGAGGAGCCACAAGGCAGAAATAGAGAAAACCTGCGGCTCCGAAAGATATTGACCATTATCCGCTGTCCTTTACGCTCCCACTTCCATTTGTTTGCTTTGACAGAAACTTACATTAGCACTGGGTGGGGAGGGCCAAACAGCAGAACCCGTAGCCGTCTCTGGGAGACTTAAGCCATACTTTGTGTACTTTCCAACAAGACTTAAACCATTTCCTGCTGTCTTTCATGGGGGCCAAAGCACTTACAATATTTAATTCATTCTTATGTTTAATGCATTATGTCCACCCACTTTCCCCCCTATTTAATAGGTGAAACAACTTTTTTTCCCCGTTTCTAAATCTATATAACCACAAATAATGAAGCAAACAAGTTAAAAATTGTTTCACTACACAACTAAATACTGTCATTCCTTGAATTTACTGCATTGTTTTTAGTATAAAAAAGTTTCTTATTATCATTATTAATAATATTTTTAGTTCTAGCTTTTTGGGTTGGATTAATCAATTTCATGTTTCATTTGTAGAAATTATGTTTGAGTCGAAAGAAAAAAATATAAAGATCTAATAACAGATCAACAGTTTTTAATTGGAAAATGTTCAACGCGTTAAAACACCCAGTAAAAAAAAAAAAAAACTGGGTTTGATTTATTCAACCAGATGCTGCTTCTAAAGAGACTGTGACTTGCTTCAACCTTCAACCTTTCTTTCATCCGCGGTCAACACTGGACAGCTGATCATCTCATGATCTATATTTAAATTCTAACTAAAACTCCTAGGAAATGTCAAAATGCTGGTGATTTGTGAAAGGCCAGTATCTCTCCCGCTTTCTCTTTCTCAACTATGAACAGTGGATGGATTGACAGGAAGAGGTAAAACAAAAGAAGCAAAAGACTAACTGTAATTCAAATACCAGACCACATGACAGGAATAACATGCAGCGTAAAATCATTCAACATGATGAGAGTCCAAATCACCCAATCTGCCCCCCCTGGATCTTGTAAGTGCATAACCTCCCTTGGCCCGGGAGCAGGGCACAGACTGCCCTCTGCTCCACCAGAGGCTGTAATGCCCACTGTTGCTGCTTTGGCATCAGACACACACACACACGCACACACACGTACACAACACACACACAGACTGGCAGAGGTCGTGCTTCGTTCACAGCATTGAGTCGGAAGGTCGTCAATGTAAAAAAAAATGGACGCGTAGTCTGTTCCTCCTTTGCAAAGAAACTCAAACAAAAGAATGAAAGGTTGTTGGTGGTGGAGAAGAGACGGGTCGTCCCTTAAATGGAATCCTATGTTCTCTCTGTGTGTCCTTATTTGTTGCTCATGAAGTTAAAAAAAAGGCACACGTTGCCAAATAGGCCGGAGAGTCAATCCACCTGAAGCCCTCCTGGTGTCCGCTGAGGGCTAAACGCCACTGGAGTGAACATGGTCAGGTCCGTTTTCTCAGTGGTTGGGTGTCCGCTGATGCATTATGGGTAGTGTCATTAAAAGACACAAAGATGTCTTGCAAAACTCACCCCCCCCCCCTCCGATGGATGTGAACTGTTGGGCAGCTGAGCCCTCAACGGCTCTGTCCCTGTTGTCCTGCTTTAGTGTGTGAGAGAATGTGGGTGAAGGCCGGCCGCTGACCCGCTGGTGGAACCAGAAGGTAGGAGACGCCTCGGGTGAGCCTGAGAGGAGGAGAAAAGAGGGGATGAAAAATGGAGGGAGAGAGGCATCTCTGAAAAACACACATAACTCATATCATAACCAACCGCTGTCTTGAAAGCACATTTTTAAATAGCTGAGCTGGATGGGAGATATGAAGGAGAATCTCCAGGGTTATAATCTGAGCGTGTGTGTGTGCGTGCGCGAGCCTTATAATCACAAGTTGGCGCGCTATCTGAGGGGCTGTCAGACGGTTGTTTATGGCAGCTCTTTGAACCATTTTGGTTCTTACTTAAGGAATCACTGCTACGGTCTTTTTACTGGCTTTACGCCCTGTTGAAGACATTCTGTGGTAGTTATTTAAATCTGTTAGGAGAAAAAACACTAATTGGGACTTTAATTACCAACACACACACAGATGCTGCTCATTATTCAGACGGTTTACACCATTGCCATGTAAACTACCCAAAATTAGCTGCCTGCCTCGGATATCTAATGAACTACCTTGAAACATAACAGCTGCTTTGTGCGAGTGTCCTCAGATTGGCATCGACTTCATCTTGACCATAGAGGTTAGTTCTTGTTTGGTGGCAGGTTCCTTCCTCCTCCGTCTCACCCTGGAAGTATAAAAACACTGAGAGAAAAATCTCACCCAAATACGGCTATAAATAGATGGCGCGCAGTCTCGGGATGTTGATGTGGGCTGTGTGTGTGTGTGTTTGTCTTACCATACGACCAAGACGAGGGAAAGAATGGTGGTGAGGATGAACACGGAGAACAAAACCAGGAGAATCACAAGACCCAAATTACCTTCATCCTCGGGGTTGGGATCTGGGTGGGAAGGGGGAAGCAAACAAAAGAGGAGGTCAACAAAGCGAGCCTTGTGGTAGATAAAGGCAAGCAGAGCCAAAACAGCATGTTGGAAACTCAAGTAATGATACAACAGATGCATGGGGAGGTCAAAACAGAAGAAGCAGCTGTGTGAAAGTGTTGGGAAATAGAGTAGAGAGAAGCACTTCACAGATGTACACAGTTAAGTGAAAAAACAATTCACACGTCTGTGATTTGAAGTTTGAGAGCGGCAGCCAAACACGCCGCAGATAAAAATGTGTGTGGTCTTGGATACATTTACTCCTTGGTTAGAATTCAATCTTATATCTATCATCACAGCCTCAGCACAAACATGCAGTTATACGAGTCGAGAAAAACACTCATCTCGCACACGCAAATGAGATGAGACCTTTTGAACACGGCGAAATTTGAGATGAGGGGAAAAAAAAATCTAACATCTGTAAAAGACAGCAGAGCCCCACACACACATACACATCTGTCTCACTGCAGTGCAGCTTAAAGAAATACGATGACTCTCTTCAGTCAAATCTGTATATGTGGACGTTTTCACAAACGTGGTGGCCATGCTGTGTGCGTGCAGAATATAAGCACCTGCAGGCTGCTTTTAGCTGTTTTGTTTTTCCCTGCACGTTGGTGAACTTTTGCAGAAAGCACAACACCCCGCAGGTGAAATCTATGGCAATTATTTATAATTGAATGATGAGAACAGGCACAGAGTGCACTATAACAACTGTAAATAATGCCCGCTGATATTACTCCTGCATTATTGAGTGATGGGGGCAATTAGTTGCTGCCAAAAAAGCACAGCCTAATGCACGTCCAGCACATGCAAACACAGAAGCACATAGGACAGAACCTCTAAAATGAAAATAAAACTAAACTGATCAAAACCATTATCACCTGAGGTGTGTTGTTATGAGCTCCCTTCTAAATTAAATCTTGGATTTAAATCTTTTTTATTTGCATTTAAAAAACAACAACCTGTGGAGTAATTCCAAATACGGTTATGCATGCATTACCATAGTAATCCTAATATGTGTGCACTCCTAAAACAAAGTAAACGGAACAACACAGCTGCGGACCAGAATGAGAGTGACCAAAACAGCATAAAAATACTGCTTCATGGGCAATCATCTGCAATGTAAATAACTTTTAACTATACTCTAATGAAAATCGGAGTTCAAGCTGCCTCTGAATCCCAAACGATAGTCAGACGTGGATGGCAGTTTGTCGAAAAATAGAGCGTCAACCCAGAAAGTTACACCAAAACTTGCAGCAGGGTGTATCTATTTCCACTTTTTCCGACCAATTGACTATGCATTTAGCAGACACTTTTGTCCAAAGCGACTTTCAAAGTAGAATATAAATATATATGTGTATCTCCCCATCCATCGGGGAATCGAAGCCCAGTCTCCGGTGTGACAAGCTAACTGAACCAATGTTTCTTTCATTTCAAAGACCCGCTTTCGCCCACTGCACACGCTTTAACAGCATTAGTCATACTTTCTTTGGAAAACCTTGTTTGAGGAGTTGTTGAAATAGTAGAAGCAAAGAAATTAGATTTTGTGATATCTACGACTGAAAACATGCAATGAGTAACGGGTGAATGACGGCAATACGCCAGATGTCCATTTCCAAGCATCCTAGCATTTCCAATAGCTGCGACAGGAACAACACTGGGATTATGTGAGGAAACTAATGGACCTTACTGTGGGACTTTGTGGTGGAGGTTTCAGGCTTCGTGCTGAAGGTAAAAAGGTCATCTGGAAACTCGACTGTCTCTTCAGGGCCAGGGATGGAGGGATCTGAGCAGAAACACACAGACGCACACTTAGCTTCCTCTTTTCCTGTAATTCCTAAGTTGAGTCATCTGTATTCGCCATCCGATTGCTCAATAATATTTTCACTTTAGTTCATAATCATATCCCACATTTACGATCCTATGATTCAACCTTTACCGTACATATGTTTGTGGCATCTTATTGATTGATGTTATATATGTTATATTTCTATATTTGTCAGCATTTGTTTACTAAGAATAAAGCAGATTGACTACAAATGTTAGTTTTTTCCCCTCTTTCTGACCTTCCCAGGGTTTCACGAGAATGATGTGGGTCCATTCACTCCACTGGCTCCCTGAGTTCACCTCATCCCGGGCTCGAACCATAACCTGGTGGGCATGGCCAGCCAAGGCATCAAATATCTCAACTTCGCTGTCTTCAGAGCAAATCTGTTTCAAAGGGCGAGAAATATGTTACACTGAGTAAAGACACAAAAGAAAGACTGCAGTAGAAAACGCTAATGTTAAAGATCGTGCTTGTGTCAATTATAGTTTTTAACCTTATTGTTTGCATTCAATTTCTGAATCGCAGTCTACATTTTAAGGGTTTGCGATGCGTTCGTATCTACATGGACTTATCAAAGAAGACAGTTGTCAGGAGGACTAAATTTAATCTAATTCTGACAACTGAAATGTGAGAAAACTGGGTTTTTGAATGTCCATGTCCAAGTTTGAACCACACTAGCGTATAAAATGTAGCTTGGTTTGCTCACCTCAGACCAGTACTCAGAGCCTAGGGGCCTGTATCTCATCTGAAACAGAAGAGGGAAACCAGAATGGTTCGGCCAGGAAGAGGGATAGTTCCAAGAGACCATCAGCTTTTTCGGAAAGCCCTCCTGTGCCTTAGCCCTAAGTGACTCTGGGGGGTTGGGTTTCACTGCAAAGAAAAAAAAGAAAAAGCATTCCATCTGTTTAGTCCAGACTGTAGTCCATACAATCCAGACTGTTTAGTCCGGACAGTAACTGGAGTGTTGTTGCAACATGTAGCAAATGTCCACTTCAGAGTCAACCGTTACCATGGATACAATGTACTTCAGCCATTATTATTACCACCAATAACCAGAAACTGCATTGTGCCATGGTTTTTTTTGTTTCTTTCTTTTTTTTCAGATAAGAGCATAGAGCTTTAAAAACCTTAAAATAGACAGCCGATTTAAGGAGAATGAGCCTCCTCCAGATTGTACTCCAGTGTTTGCGGAGTGGCTTTACCCCATCATTATGGCAGCTGGTACAGCAGGTATTCAAGTGACTGAGCTTTTACTGCTAATTCGGTTGATCCCTGCAAAAACAACTGTACCGAATTACGGTATTATGCATTTCCCTCCAGTTGTTATGGAGTTGTCACTTTTAAACATGAGATAGGACAGGTTGTAACAGGTTGCTGAGAAAATCTATACATAGAGGACTGACTTAAACTACTGATATAATATTTAATATACAACATTGTGTATACTATACTCTATATATATATATATATATATATATATATATACATAAATATATATAAAGGAAAAATCAAATTTATCTTGTCTGAAATGTATGTGATAAAACTGGATTTCGGATTTAGAACTAACAATTTGTGTTGATCTAATCTAAAGTAAACTAAAGAGATTATCCACACAAAAGTAATCCTTCATAAACCCTAAATTAATGAACACCTGCAGTATGAAGGTCTGTAGCAGTGCTGCCTTGTGGATGTATTTTTAGATTGGTTTTGGTCTTATTTTGCTGTGTTTGGAGGGTCTGGTCTGTTTTTTAGAGTCAGTGTGTGGATATGAATACCTCTGATACTCTGACAAACAGGCTCTAATTTGGTGTTTTCCTCCGTCTGCATGGAAACTACAACTTGATGGAGCGGCATCATTTAATCGCTCCACCATAAAGGAAAGGCCAAGCATAACCCTGATTTGCCATGAAGTTCTCCAGAGTATGTTTTTCATGGGATTCTTACATAGATCGTGTAGCCTGAATCGACTGTATGTTGTCCAGGACCCGAGAGCATTGGTCTCATTGACCTCAAGTGTGTGGTGGGTCTGCCAGAAGGTCTCGGTGTTTACATCACAGTGCTTGCTGGTGACATTCACGACGCACGGCAGCCGGTTCTTAACATTGCCCCTTGAAAACGAGACAAAAATGTATTTATTCTTTCAGACAAAATGAAACATGAGGATGTGCCGAAAAGACGAAAGAAAAAAAAAAACTGTCTTCTTCACATTAAAGCCACTTTCATCTTTGAGAAGTGAAGGACAGAGGCAGAGAAAGACGTAAAAGAAGACGAGCACAGAATATTTATTTAAATCCTATTCACACACTGGATGAAGAAACGGGAGCATTTGAGTTGCAGTTGCTGGCTCTTACCAGATGAAGGCACTGTAATTGGCTGGCAGGAAGGTCTTTACAGACTCTATCCAGGAGCACCGAACATGTGTGTAATTGGGCACTTGACAGGAAATTTTCAGTTCTCCTGGGGGATCTGGAAAACAAGAGTCAGAGTTCTTCTCAAGACAGAAAGGGAGTTTGTTTTTAAGCTCTGCTGTCAGATGACATGTTTTCTCTGTCTTGTCCTTGAATGAAAAAAAAAAACACTCCTTGACTACGATGCTCTTCTCGTGAACCAACATATTCATGGGGGAGCTTTACCAGGAAAATGCAAAATGTCCCATTCCATAAAAGGAAACTTACTTCTGAAGCCCCTTCCTGTTTAAGGCAGTAACAGGAAGTGGAGGGCTTTGTGATGGCCGATAAGCCCTGCTTCCTCTGAGGACCAACAGCAAAGTTCAATGATCACTGTTTTTGTTAGTTTGACCGCACGGACAGAATATAATCATCTAAATTTTATGAAAATGGATTCGGCCATCAAAAAATTTTGGATAACAATGAGATCAAATAAAAAGGAAATCATCATAAGACCAAGAATTATCCCAAAAAACTAAAACAACGTCTGCACGGGGGAGATTTGAGCTAATTTCTGGTGGGAAAAAAAGTAGGTTTTTTGAAGACGCACCCATGACACAAGACGTACAAGCAGCTGTGGTAAGTCGTAACACCACGACTGGGAAACGAGAACCCATACAAGTCACAACAACACTTACAGCCTAGCCTGAGTCGGACAGAATGGAGGAGGAGCCCACTGTTGTCATAGCAGCTGTAGTCGCCCTGCGCTGACTGGGCGACGTTCAAGAGGACTAATCTTCCGTCTGATGTCACTTTGTGCCATGGCAACACTGAGCTGTTGTTGAGGTGCCACACCACGGGTAACCTGAACAGAATCGCGTACAAAGTCAGCTACATTAGTGAGACATTAGCTTCCCACCTTTTCCCGCTCGTCTTTGCTTTCTTTGTCTTATACATCCCCCCAAGTTTCTTTGAGGACTTTTAAAAAAAAACTACCAATACAATCATATCATATACGTAATTATAATCCTGCTATTCTTATTTTTTTCTTACCTGATTTGAGAATTTCCGCATGCCAGTGTCACATTTGAGTCCAAAGGCTCATACTTCACGTCCGACGCTGCAAACAAAAAACGTTGCATAAATTCCATTAATGAGAATCAGGCCCATCTCTTACAGTATAGTCAGGGGTTGTACGATAGCATGACCATACAAGGTTTGGGATCTGGCACACATCAGATTGTAGTCTTTGGCACACACTATAGACCTACTGTGGTGTGTATTTTTTTCTTCTTTTTTTTTTTGTTATCATCGCTCCTGAAATATTACCATGTTTCACCAGATCCTCTTCGACAGACAGAGGAGGAGGAGTGAAACACTTACATAAGGATATCAAAACCAAATATTTGGATGATGGTATTAAAAAATAACAATGGGATACAAAGTGGGCACCGCAGAAGGGTTGTTTCTCAGCCCCTGTCGTCTAGGCATGTGGATATTTTAGGTTAGGTTAAATGGTTAAATTAAGTCTCCACATACAAAATGAAACCGTTTTACTCTTTCCAATATTCATTGGAATCGGCTAACTGGCTTTATCCAAGGCACATTACTCAAAAGCATCCCGGACTCAACCCATTTGAACCCTAGTGGGAGAATGACTCAAATATATGAAGCAAAGCCCATAAACCCACAGCAATCTGATGAACTGTCATTTTAATCTTAGACTCCACTTAATGAAGTCTTTCTTTGTCTGGTTTCATCAAATAGCTGAAAACCTGCTCCCTGGAAGGGCGAGATTGCAGACGGGTGTTGATTTGAAGGAATAATAAGTGTAGTGTGCGTTTACCCAAGCAAATATTTGTGGTGGCTGCTGTAATTTTCAAGTCGATCCTCTATCTGCTGTTTGTGGATGTATACGTGTGTGTGTTTAGCTTGGCTTCATAATGTGAAAGCGGGCATTTACAGTGGGATCGAGGCTGAAAAAAAGAAGCAACACTTTGGCTGCCAGTCTGCCTTGCAAACAGCTTCATTAATTCTCAGTCTCAGCCAGAGAGGCGCGCACGTGCACACTCTGATGGCCTCTCACCTCAGGGTAACATACAATTAACCCTGGCTGTGTTTGTTTTTTATTCCTCTCTCCATTTATAAAACAATTCATTCCATTTATGTCCTTTCTCAAATCTCCAAAGACTTACTGGAGCGCAGATAAAAGGGTTAGGGTTAGGGTTAGGGTTAGGTCATGCTGTGATATTTGCTGCTATGTTAATCCCAATGCTGGCTGGAGGTATCTGGACATCACTTCACCGGCCGTAGTACCATTCGTGGTAATAACAGCATCGTAACAGCATCAATAATTGATTTTTGCAGTTGCATTTAGATTTTTCTTTTTCCATCAAACAGGGAAAAAAGGAGAAAACACTCAAACAAAATGAAACTTCTGAAACAAAACAAAATAGGCGCCCACTAATAAGGTTGTGGTGTCTGTGGGAAACAACTCGTTGTACATAAGGCAATACATGGTCAGGGAATCTGACACACAGCTTATTTGCTGTGGACCTTGAAAGCTGTGGGATTCATAAAAGAAAGAGACAAGAGAGCCGTGAAAACATCTTGACCTTTTAAAATGAATGAAAGTTTTGAAGATTTCAATCAGCAGAGTCATGGTTGCGATCAGTAAAAGTGAAAATCTCCACAAGAATCCTACAAGGACACAGGCACCACACGGGTTGGAAACCAAAGCCAGACTACAAAACTAATCTAACTGAGGAACAAAACCAGAGCCCTCGTGACATCCCGAGTTGTTTGAGGCAAAACAGAGCTGTAAAAAAAATAAAAGAACAGTCCCATATGTTACTGGTACCGTATGTTGCCACAGCTTTACTTGAATTAATCTACAGGCATGTGTTTCCATCTATTCCATCTCCATAACTTAAAAATTAATGATGTCATTTGGCTGGTAGTCAGGTTTGGGTGATAACTACCATAGAACTACCGTTCTATGCTGACCTTTCACCTCACATAAGGAGTAAATGTCCCCACTCCTGATGGTAAACAAGCCTCAGGCGTGGGATTGTAGCTCACGAGCTTGAAGCTGGTCGTTGCTGTATTTAAACTTTCTTTGGGCTTTGCTATGCTGGGTGGAAAAATAAAAAACACTTGCTGCTTTTTTATGTGGAAAACTGGTCTCGGTAGACCTGAGAAACTGCTGAGCCGGCTTAGGTACCTAACGGCCGGAGGACAAAACACAACACCGGCACCCCCCCCCTCACCCCCCACCCCGCGACAGTCTCTGAATTGTTCCCACTTGTGTTTACGGTTCCCCACACTGGTTCCAATGGCGTAGCGTTCCAAAGTATATTTGTCCTTGTATCATGGCCAAGACACATCATAAAGGTTCTGGTAATTGCTCAGTTACAAAAGATCATCCTCAAAACTACCAACTCTGTTCACAGCTGTTAAAGCTACGATCCGGTCACATTTGGCACTCCACTCCCCCTGCTGGTCCCCTTTCAGCTTCTATAGGCATAATGCTCATTTCTGTCTATACACAGTGTTAGGATATTTAAGTTTAGGGGCAAATTTGGGAGCTTTATTTATTTCTTAAAAGATTTGGGGCAAAGAGTAACTGAAAAACTGAAAAATAAATGATAAAATTGAAATGATTACGTTTCCTCTATCTTTTCTTATCATTTCCCATCATAGACAGTCTTTCCATCTTTGTAAATTGTTTGGTTCAGAGCCAAGCTCACCAGTTTTGACCAGATTTTTCAGTTTTTTTTTTCTTGTTTTTTATTTCTCATTTAATTCTTTCCCTATGCAAGTGTGCTACCTGGGGCCTTGGTGCAGTGCAAGGAGTTGGCTGGTCTGAATGTGTGTATTCATGTTTTATTGGCAGTGAAGTACATTATTCCCCAAACCCACAGCGTTCCACTCATATCTGATTCTGCCTCTGGCAAGAGCACCCCGACATGTGCACACACACATTAAACCGCACACATAATCACACACAAACATGCGTTTATATAGGCAACCCCCCCACACCCACACACACACACACACAGCAACACATAAAGAATGGCTGCAGATTTGTCCTGACATTGAAATCAGATGGCAGGGCAGACGCAAAAATTGCAAGCTGGACGAAACTTAGTACTTTCCAAACAATAAAAAAAGGGACTCTGGAGCTGCTGAAGGACAGAATAAATGGGTAGGAAAACCTTCTGACAACTTAATCTAAAGCTCTTTGGGCACGCTCTTCTTTTCTGTTGGAATGATTAATGCTCCTGAAATAGGAGAGATGGATTTGTTACATTCAGCGTGAAAAAAAAAGAAAAAGAAACAGACAGACAGAGAGAAAGAAAGAAAGAAAGAAAGAAAGAAAAAAGACAGACAGAGGTATTATGCTCCTTTTCAACAAGTGGCACATTTCCTGAGGTCCCATTAAAAAACATCCCTCATGCCCTCAGCACAGCAGCTGTCTTCTCACCCCGACTGAAACCACTCTCTTCAGACCAGATTCTCCCTGTTGAGCAAAGCCAGAGAGAAGCAAAAAGTTTGTTGCTTAAAACTCGGCTAACCGTCTCTCAACAGAACAGCTACATCAGTTTGAACCAGAGTCGGGCCCTGAACGAGGCGCAGCTCCTCGGGAAGGTCGACAATCATGGTTTCAACAGGATCTTGGTGAACTGGCAATTTTTTCTCTCTGCAAGCAGCCGGTTTCTATAACGCAGCGTTATCCATTGTTTAAGGCCGGCTCTCCGGTGGGCGATTTAATTCAATGAACGCAGATATAATGAGGCTTTCCCTCCACTCACACCAAGAACACTCGTGCTCTTTCTGCACACAGATATATCAACATTATTGATCTCATGGGAGAAATTGTTTAGCTGAAGTGCAGTGAATGTCTGCCGGCAGTTCACAGGAGATAAATCGCTGCTCTTAAACATCCCATTACTCTGTTACATAATTGTACCTGCACATTTGTTAAAGCATGAATCACTAATATTAACACGACAAATTAGCAAAGCAGTTCCTAGAAAGTGTTTGCGATAACTTCCTTCAGTCTTTTGATGACTTTTGCTTGAAAAAGTATCACCAAAAATTAGCTCAAATGTCCCCTGGGGTAGGCGGATATATATAACATGAATGCTGCTCAGTCTATCCAAAGTAAGCTTCATTGTTCCATGAGGTTGAATGGGCGCAGATGAGGGCGGAGGCTGTGCAGAGGAAGCCGCACACAGAAGTGATGTAACTGTATCCTGAAAGAAATATTCTAATACCTTGTCTTTTTTACCCTTATTCAGCCGGTAATGACTTCAGGCCTCCGCATTTCAAAGTGTCTTAATATTGTGTTTTATGTTAAACTGCCCGCTCTCTGCTGGAGTGGACTGAGATCGTATCAGTGCTTTTCACTCAAAATAGTTCACAAAGGAATCCATGCCATGATCCTTAGGAGATTGTGTGTCCTGTATGTGTGTGCATGCATAAATGCATAACAGTGTGTCCAGCCAAACTCACGTACACCTTTTCTTTTTCAGTCCAGTCCTTGTGCACAGCTATTCTTTCAACCATGCTTTTAATTTTCACTTCCATCATCCGACATGCATCTTACAGGCAACTTGGAAGAATTACCAATTTTTTCCAGGTATTTTAGTTAAATTATTTATTAGTTCTTAATTTTGCAAAGAAATGCAAATGACTTGAAAGTCCTTAGTTTTATGCACAGAAATACTAAAAGTAAAACAGTATGAGAGGTCTGAAATAGTATTTTGAACCAACAAGGAGGTTCCCAAAGAGCTAGGAGCTAAAAACAAAGCGGTTGAGCAGAGAGTCCCGACGCAGCTTGGGACGAGCTCCCTTTCAGATATTGTATCTGCAGCTTTAGAAGTTTTGTGTTTCGTTTAGTGGGTCTGCAACTCCTTTGTTTGTCCTGATAGTGACGTATCTTTTCATTTCAAAATGGTGCAATATTTTCAGATAGATAGACTGGACTGGTGAAAAACTATTTGTCATCCCACCTTTAAAGGATTGCATTAAACGCTGTATTCTTAAAAGCAAAACAGAAAAATGACCACCTTATGTCTATTGCATCGTACTGTGTATGGTAAAAGTATAATGGCAGAACAAAAACTGTTTTCAAATGTTTGTGTGTGTTACCTTCATTAGGCTGAGTCCGAGCTCCACTGGGATGCAGTGACCATGAGAAAAAGCAGATGAACGTCAGAAACACAGGGCTGGACAAAAGGCCTGGCATCTAGAGGGACAGGGACAGAAAGTTGTAAAATAAAACTTGTTAGGATGATGAGAAGTCATTAATGATTTATTGTGAAGCCTTAAGAGCAGTAAGTATTTTTTTTAAAAGCCCACGTGTAAATATTCCTTAATAGTGTCACTGGCTTTAGTACCAAAAAGCATACCAACAATACTCAGAACTGTCCCCTATCTCTCTCATAGTGGCACCGTTGATACAAGGTTTTCTTAGAATCAGAAAGGAGTGTGGATATCTTTACAAGTAGGAAAACTTGACATTACACACGTCAAATGTGGGGCAATAGAGCCAAGACACAAAGAGATTAATTCCAGGCACAATGAGCTACAAATGACTGCTTTGTCTCACTATCATAGCAGCAGAAAAAGTCAAACCACTGGGCACTGTTACGACGGAATTATGGATGGAACACTCCAACTTGAAAGCAGATGTGGAGCCAACAGCCTTGATGGAGCCTTTTCACCAGTGCTCTGTATTTTCTATTTAACTGTTCCGCATTTAGCTTTACATTTGAGGCTGTTCAATGCCAACTTTGTAAAGAAACCAGATGAGACATCTACTGTGGGTTCAATAACAGATGAAGTCAGAACAAAGCAGAGAGAACAGTGATTCATTTCTGCAAAAACTGGATTCCTTTCAGCACCAAACAGACCTGAATCTAACAATAAGAAACAGGGGGAGGTGTGATGGACGCATGGCATAAACTGAAGGTCGGTAATCTTTCAGTAACATGAAAAGACCTACGCAGAGAGCAGAGTACGTTAGCAAATTCAACATTGGATAAATTCATCACCACCTCCGGCCAAAGGGGGAGGTTTTTTATCGTTGTTGACCACTTCAGGACAGTCCGGGCTGGCAGACCTTTCTGGCTTCAGGTATTTGCTGGCTTTGGAGCTTTCTCATTTGTACATTCTACCGTATCAAAATCACTACTACCAAACATTAGGACCCTACTACACAACTGATGCTACCAAATCCTGACTGAAGAAATACGTAAACTCCAGGACAGTTTTGTGGGAAACTGGCTACACAACTTTAGGGTTTGCCATGATGAAACCGCTGTGATTTAGAACGCGTGAACCTGAACCATCTGGTTCATGGTACCTCCCCCAAACAGATCATCTGTTTGTTTTAGCCTCAGAGTAAATAGAAGAAACCTTTCATTGGTAGAACAAATTGTTCTGTTTGATTTAAGCAAATGCTGTGAGGAGTAAAAGGAGATTTCCTCTCTGTATTTTCTGCATTTTTTAACGCCACGCAAAAGCTGCATTATTTCTAAACTACTCTCATATATATATATATATATATATATATATATATATATATAAATGCGCAGACCAACTCCTGAGTAGTGGATTTCAACTCAGAGTCCCCCATCACCTCCAACAAAAAAAACAAACAAAAACAAGAATTGCTCTTGAACTCTCTGTCAGCAAGCAGAGATAAACTGTGTTTCCACTGCTTCCTTCTAATGTAGCACAGCGGTGCCACATTCACCGCTGCAACCTCACACAGTGCACTCAGCAAATCCAAATCCTCCTTCCATCTCCCTCACTTGTGTTCATTGCCTCTGGATCAGCCACTCTTTTTTTCCTCCTAAGCCTCTTTACTTTGAGCAGATTCCATGATTGTAATACTGCTGCAATCCCGGTGAACTCTCCTGTTTACTGTTTGTTCGGGTACAAGGCAGTGCAGAGATTAGTCACATTACTCCTAACATACCTTGGGGAGTCGTGCTTTTTGGCGTCAACATAAAGCTGTAGGGAGGCACATAGGCATCTTCATTCAGTTCTGACCTCGAGACGGTTTGACAAGTTCAAATTTGACATTAAGCTCTATAGAAAACCACAACATTCCCCGTGGAGTCCATTGATTTCTCACATTACACATATTGTAAATCTGCAAAGGCTTAGCTGGTTCTAATACCCACGGGGCACTTTGTTTTTGTCGTTCACCCTTTCAGTCTGTTGCTTAATGTTTTTTTGGACTTTGAAATAAGTCGTCCCACCCCCAGACTCTAGAGCACAAAAACAAAGAGATTTAACGCCGTAGCTTATTACCTACCAGCTTTTCCACAAAGACTAGGCAGAAATGGATAAACACTGAAGCTGCAATTTTCCCATAGCTTTTGGCACATTACCCTCAACCCGACCCAGCTCGTGTATTCTGTCACTTTCAGTCTGCTGGCTATCTTCTCCGACTTAGTCTCCCCCTCCTTACTTCCCTGCATTGTCATCCCTAAGAAAAAACACAATTCGGCAGACACACTGACACAATGGTGTCCAATCACAATGATAACACAAAGCAGCCACCAAGTTTAGCCTGATGACTCTGATTTCAATGCTCTTTCTTTCTCACCAGGGGGATTGTGTGTGCGCACGTGTGTGTGTGTGTGTGTGTGTGTGTGTGTGTGTGTGAGTGTGTGTATGTGTGTGTGCGCGCAAGGCTGTTGTTAGCTCACAGTCCTATTCTCTGAGTCATCCTTCCACAGCAAGACCCGGAACAGACAGCGGAATGTAGCCATGGATATTGTCACTAGGATCCATCCCTAAATCAAGAAGTTGCACATTTACAAAGAGAAAAAAAAAGCAACAGATGTCCAAAATCAGCTCACAGGCTGCCCAGCTTTTCTTATGGAGTAAGATAAAACCAAATCAGTGTTAGATGATGATATAAAAATTGAGTGGAAACTAATGAATGAACAAGAATGTGCAAGAAAAACAAACATTGCTTCGAGTAAGAGTGACACTGGAGGTATCCTGGTAAAAGTAAAGCACAAGCTGAGTATAAGCATGAGGGAACGTCCAGTAAAACATAGGAGTTCTGAGGGGTTTCAGGATATTTCCTTTAAAGTTGTGATATATAAAAAAAATTTTAATAAAAAAAACAGACCTTATGATAAAAGGAGGCGTGCACGCTGACAATGAGTAACAGGATCCAAAAGGGCTCTTTATTAACCGGTCCTCTCTGTGGCAGCACAATCCCACGTGGTGACTCACTCACTCGAGCAAGCCGCAGCACATTCAAGCAGCTTTCCAAGAGAAGAGACGAGACAGAGAGAGAGCGGAGGGGCAGAGAAAGAGAAAAATCAAAAGGGAGGCAAGACGGAGCGAATAAGGGAAGGGAGGGTGTTAAATGACGATACGGATTTGTTCTTTGTTTCCAGTGCGATTCATCAACACCTCAATAGTGGGAAAAGAAGAACCGTTCAGTCGGGCACTTCACACACACACATACACACACACACACACGGGCATACACACAACCACTCGGACTGTCACACTGCTTTGTTGACCATTGACAAGACAAATTATGACAGGATGTCCTGTTCAGAAGGACACACCATTAGAGGTTGTCATAAATTAGAAATTAGCACAGACTGATGTTTCAGCCTGCTGCCTGCACAGCAGCACACTGACCACTGCCCGTTTATCTGTGTGTGTGTCACCATTTCAAAGAGAAAATGGAAGGGACCGGCCGAGGGGGCTCGACCAACCAAAACTAAAACTCTGTGCACACATGGGCATCAAGGCGAAAGCACACGGGGTGACGGCGTGTGTGCGCTGAGCTAACAGTAACGCGGTCAAGCCGAAACGGTGGACGGAAGGACTACAATGACTCTGGTGTTTACCCTGGTCTCCATAGCGATCGCTGCACGCCCGGGCTGTTTGACCTTTTCCAGCCGATAGCAGCTCTGCTGACAGAGGAGTGTGTGCGTCTTTGCTTCTATGTGTTAAGCTGGCCTGGATCTACAGGCCACGGCATGGAAAATCACTACTTTCTAAAATTGGGCAAAGACTTTTTTTTATAGCACAGAAGCATCTGTATTTCACTTCCCTCATTTACGTTTTCCAATTTTAAAGACAAAATTAGACCGAGACATCTTGAGAGGCTTTGTGAAATGAATTGAATTAGATTTTTAATGAGCCATTTCACAGAATAACATGTTAAGATGGCCAGCGTATCCAGAACTGAGCCCCTTCGCTCAGCACGACTATTGCATCTCTCAAATAGTCCAGAAAGCAAAAAAAGAAGATAAAGAGCTTTGAGAAAAAGTTACTGGCAGTTAAAGATTACAAAGAGGGGGGGAAAACCTACTTGCATGCAGAAAAAAGGTTCTGCCAAACATTTAATGCACCAACATTTGCCTCCTGAAAAGTTTGGAGAGCGTGTGAGATAACAGTTGAGGAGGGAAAATGAAAGGTCGTGCTCCGGAGTGGGATAAGAGCAGGAGATAAGCGAGAGAAATCTGTTACCAAAGAAGGAGATGGAGACACGAGCATGTGAAGAAGACAAAAGAAAAGAGCTGCTAGAATTGAATATTATTCATCCTGAGTCAGTCAGAATGTATTTGGCTTCGTGTAGAGCCTTGAAGGTTTGGAAGTCTAAAGAATTTTCTTCGTTTACCAACAAAAAGTGGGAGGTTTCAAAGAAAAGAATTAGAGGGAGTAAAACTCTCACTATCACACTTTAAACAGAGGAGGCTAAATTTTCTGCACATGGACAAAAACCCTTATTAGAAAAATACCGGAGTAATTAAAGTAAGGGAAACCTAAAGGATTAGTTAACCAAAGGGTAAATGTCCAGCCAGGTGTTTACACTCTGTGGAATGACACGTGGGCTGTTGTATTTAAAGAGCAGGGGTCTATTAACATCTGAGCTGCTCTAAATATGTTAGTGATTCCGTCTGGAAGAGTTTAGACTCAGCCACTTTACTTTCAGACAGGCAAAGCATGTAATAGTCAGCGGGGTCACACAGAAACCCTGGTTGTGAGGACCCATGTCCCGATTCCACAAAGCAGAATGGAAAATAATCTTTTTTTTTATCATCCTTGTGACAAGTACAATCAAACATTAAGTGTTGTCCTCACTCAAAGCAAAGGCCGAGACACAATAAATAAATAAACTACTAAGAAATAATGGACAAGAGCGCAAAGTTGAAACCACTGAATAACAATGGTGTGCACAAGGCAGGGCTGCAGAGG